GACTGGAAGAGATCTATATTTGTTCCCATCCCAAAGAATGGTGCCCCAACAGAGTGTGGAAACTATAGAACAATATCATTGATTTCACATGCAAGCAAGATTCTACTAAGATCAAAAAAAAAAAAAATGAGTGGAAAAGCACATGAGCAGAGAACTGCCAGAAGTCCAGGCTGGGTTTAGAAGGGCTGGTGGTACTAGGGATATTGGAGCTGATGTTAGATGGATCTTGACTGAAAGCAGGGAATACCGGAGGAATGTATATCTGTGTTTCATTGACTGTGCAAAGGTGTTTTGACTGTGTGAATCATAACAAACTGTGGCTGACTCTGAGAAGAATGGGAATCTCAGAACACTTGATTGTGCTAATGCGAAACCTATATTTGGGCCAAGAGGCAGTTGTTAGAACAAAGCAAGGAAACACTGTATGGTTCAAATTGGTAAGGGCATACGCCAGGGATGTGTCCTGTCTCCATACCTTTTCAACCTGTATGCAGAACAGATTATCCAGGAGGCTGGGCTCTATGAGAAGAAATGTGGTGTCAGGATTGATTTTTTTATCTTTCTTATATATGCTTATTTACCTAGTTTTCATTAACTCAACCCATATAGAAAGACTGTGTGTATTCTTTAAAATTTAAAACACATGTGAGTCAGACTCATGAGATTCTACAGTCTTACCCAGATTGAAGTTTACTAATAACTTTAAGGATACAGCTAACTACAGGACATATGTAAGTCTAAAGAAATCTGGGACTATATGTGCAGGCTCCCAGGTCTTTCCTTGCTGCCTAGGAATGTGCACTATCTAGTATTTAACATCTGGGGGGGAGGAGCCAAAAAATTTAAAAAAAAAACCAAAACAGCATTTCCAGTGGTCCTTGTGGATCATGATATAAAAGGGAGTTGAATCAGTTAAAGGGAACTCTGGTGGCTTAGTGGTAAGGAGTTGCACTACCAACCCAAAGGCACTCAGTTCTAATCTACCACTGTTCCAAATGAGCAGTGTCATACTGTGTGATTTCCTGCCTTTGAGAACCCACTGAGGGTTAGCTTTAAGTTGGTTCTGAATCAGTAGTACATAAGAACAACAATAACATATCCTCATAGCAAAGGGTGCTAGTAATTCTCTGTTGTATCATTTCATTCGCAGGTCAGGATAGCTCATGTTCAGGGATGGTTTGATTGATTAGTGGATTTTGGTTGTGCTGGACTTTCTGTCAAGTTCTTCAGCAACTATTTACGTTGTTGTTTTTGTTATGTGCCGTCGAGTCGTTTGCGACTCATAGTGACACTATGCACAACAGCTCTAAACCCTGCTCTGTCCTGCGCCAACCGCAC